GTTGTTGCAAATGGCTGAGGGGAGACTGCGTGGCTCACTGATGAGCTGCTGCTGCAGCTGCAGCAGACATACGTATATTGGCGAGGGGTGCCAGGCAGGGTTACTGGGGAATTCCACTGTGTTGCCATCTGGGTTTAACCAGGGGCCCAACAAGGAAGAACTCAAATCCTCCTTAATCGTATGTTATCTCTATCAAAGTATGAAATAAAGTGGATACAGTGCTCGTCTCCTGTTCCTTGGGTCGATGGTTCGACCTCGGGCACTTCCAGATCGCCCATCTGCAAACGAACCATCATTCCTATGGGGACTTACTTTTACTTTCAACCTTATCCAGACCTTTGTACTACTCATATTAGGTAGTAGGCAGCTATCAAACAGGTAGGTACTACAGCCTGGGAAGAAGATATTGTAAGCATAAAGTTCGTCCTTAAAAAATTTAACACTTCAATTAACTCCTGCTCTAGGCTTAATACTGTATAGTACATTCAGAATTTCTTCTACAATAAGTTTACGACACACCATGAAACAACAAGAGAAAAATGGTGTTTTGTGTACCATATTTTGAGTAAACCTAAAAAAACCTAGTCCATCACTGTCCACCGCGAGAGCTCCTTTGCAGATCGTATCCCTTCTATTGGTGTTTGTCGCTGATCTCTTAATACTCTCTTTGTTGGCATTGTAGCCTGTCTTCGTTGTCGAGATACCTCTCTATCAGTTGCAAGTATACCATTATCAACTGTTAACAAGTCCAGAACAAATAGAAACAAGGTCCGTGTGATGAACAGAAATGTGTATAAATAACAACACACATATTTTATTTTGTATCTTTTTTAAGTAAAGCAGCTCATTGGCATTATTTTCATATTTACAAAATGCTGAACCACATTTAGAGCTTATGTATACTGTATACAGGTTAGGGTGTGACCGTTGCCCTCCAAAAATGAAAAAATGGTCCTACAATGCTGTTCAAAGTTTTAGTGTTGTGTATTTATCTAGGAAACACCCCTGTAAATTTTCTTGGAGATCGGTGCATGTTTGAGCTAGCACCGTCGGCTTTACAAAATAACAAGGAATATTATTATCTAATGAACAAATTTAGTGGAATTTCTTTTATTAGACTTATAAGATATACTAACACCAAGCAAATGATCGATCATATCAATCTTAATACCCCTAAAACAATATTATAGATTGGTACGAAATACAATAATCCCAATAATTGTATTTTTTGGTTCAAGACCCATTTCTCTTAACTGGCGTACAATGAAAAAAAGAAATACTACTAGTTGCAGGTATGTTGGCTCTTATCAATCATCTCATTACCACCTCAGAGTTAGGTACCCATGTGCCAAGTTAGTATTATGCTGGGATTATAATGAAATTGACACCACTGATATTCAGGACCAGCTGTCACTATCACAAGTTGTAAACTTCCCCACACACGGTCAAAATACCCTTGACCTTATCTTAACTGACTTAACGGACCAGTACCAACCACCTCAACCAATGCCTCCTATCGGGTGGAGCACACACTTATCAGTGCTCTGGTCCCCAGCTGCCACTACCACGCAAGAACAGAGACCCTACATCAAGACCTACAGGCCGATTACTGACTCTGCAGTGCGCCTCTTCGGGCAGTGGATAGTTCACCATCCCTGGACTGAAGTACTTAGCGTGGATGACGTGGAAACCAAATGGAAAAATTATACCAACACCACCACGGAAGCTCACCACCACTTCTTCCCCGAGAAGTCCGTCAGATCTAACCCAGCTGACTTGCCCTGGATCACACCTCGGATCAAAAGATTTATGCAACAGAGAGACAGAGCCTTTTATCTCAAGGACCACATCCGCTACAGGTCCCTTCGCAACCGAGTCATCGGCGAAATACGTACTGCAAAGATGTCTCACTACCCAACCAAATTGCAACACCTGAAGCAGACCAACATCAGTCAATGGCATGGTAAGCTTAAAGAACTCTGTGGACTAAACAGTAAGACACACTCCCTCCCCTTCCTTAGCCACCTCACTAATATTGACGCAGCTGAGCAATCAAATAACCATTTCGCTACTATATGCCAGACGCTCCCCCGGCTTGACACAACCACTCTCCCAGCTTACCTACCAGCCCCCTTTCCCACTGACTTAGTAGAAGAATTTGAAGTAGCAAAACGCCTGGACAAACTAAAGTTAAAATGCTCTACCACCCCCATTGACTTACCAATGAAACTCTTCAAGGAGTTCTCCCTGGAGCTTGCTAAACCCCTATGCTCCATCATCAATGCTTCTCTCAGTCAAGCCAGATGCCCAGCTGACTGGAAGACCTCTTATGTATCACCAGTGCCCAAGTCAACCAGCCCACAATCCTTAAATCAGCTACGACCCATTTCAATCACCCCAATACCCAGCCTAATCTGTGAAAGTTTTGTGTTCGACTGGGCTTATGCTGATAATGCAGGAGTCGTAGACCCTCAGCAGTTTGGCAATATGAAAACTTCCTCCACCACTCACTGTTCTGTCAGCCTTTTCGATTACATATATCGCCATCTCGAGAAACGAAAAACGTCTGCAGCTGTCGCCAAGCTGTACGCTTCCGAGGGGCTGTCTCCACCTTTCAGTCACTCACCTGTGGCGTTCCCCAAGGCACCAAGATGGAACCACTCTGCTTCCCTATGCTTATCAATGATGCCCTAAGAGAAACCCCTGCTCGCTGGAAATATGTCGACGACTCCACTATTGGGATCAGCGTCAACAATTCTGCTCCCGACTACAGTATACCGCCCTGGGCCACCATCAACCACGTCACCATCAACCATACCAAGACCATGGTTATGCACATCAACCTCTCCTCCGACATTGTCCCACCCCCTTCCATTACCTTAGGTCCCAACACACTCCAGGTTGTAGATTCCACTAAGCTCCTCGGCGTCACCTCCTCCTCCGACTCAAGTCCCTCGGAGTTCCTGCATCCGAGCTCCTCAGTGTTTACTCAACATTCATACTTCCCAAGCTCACCTATGCCTCCCCCACCTGGTCGTCCTCCCTAAATGCCACACAACGTAAACACATAGAAAAAGTGCAAACGAGGGCATGCAAGATTATTCTCTCCCCTTCCTACTCCACATATCAAGAAGCGCCCAACACACTGACCCTTTCGACTCTCACTGACCATCACCACGACCTCATCTGCAAATTTGGTGAGAAGCTTCTGCACCATCCTCGACACCGGCTCCTACTACCACCTAAGATCCCTAACCCGAGAATTGCTGTTCGACACCACAACGGCATCCAGCCCATACGTGCACGAACTGATCGCTATAAGAACAGCCCAGTTCCAACCATTGTAAAAATTATCAATAACTTGTAATAAACCAGTGTATTCACTCCCAGTAAATCCTACTTCTTGCACTGTCACTATGTTGAAATGCCCTGTAGTTTGAGCTTTTCCCCATCTAGTTATTGTATATCTTATTTGTATCACTACTGTTACTTGTATATTATTTGTAAATCGAAACCCATTCCCCAATTATGTAACTGTATATTTTCAGCCTTCTGGCTGCTATGCTCTTTCAATAGACCGTTAATTATTATTATTATTATTACTCTTGAATGAAATAAATTTAACAAGAAAAATATCTCAATCTGCGCTCTCATTACTAAATAATTCCTGATATTAATGTGCAGTGGATATTGGATTAGATTTTTTTTATGGCTAATAATTTATTGTAAATATAATAAGATATATGTGTTGATTTTCAGTACTAAATAAAAGACAAGTAAATAAAATGGTTGAGAAACAATTGACTGTGTTGCAAACTACAATAAGATTAATGGAATAATTGAGATACTTATATTATTAAAGTCATGGCTATTTAATAATATACTAACAGAGTTACCGTGCTATTGAGAAATTAGATGGAAAACTAAAGAGTCGTGCTTTCCCTTTACCAAGCCGTTGAAGGGATGACCATAAAACTTTGAATGAGGATGCTATAAGGGTAACTAGAGTAAAAATCTAAACGGTGCTACAATGTCGTAACCGGGCATATTATGTTAAAACTAAACGGTTTATAGTAGATATTGACTTTTGCATGTGGTACAAATTGCCAAGATATAAATATTCAAGCGAAGAAATGCTGACGTAAGAATCCATACGGAAAAATATTTTAGTTTGGTCGATATCTCGGGGAAGCATGAGGGTCAACGGACCTCACTGGAGAGAAAGTAGTGCCCTAGTTCTTTCTCATTTTCTATGAAAATATAAATCCTTGAACCTAGTTCAGTGTGTGGGAAACGACAATCAGTTAAGAGGTATGAGTCGAGATTATCAGCACACATATGTCTGCCTACTTATGAATGTCTTTTAATATACAGCAGTTTCCCCGTTACATTACCAATTTTTTCTCCCACGAAGCCCTTGCCGGGAGAGGCTGGTGGGGTACAACAAACGCGGTGATGCCAGACGTACGAGTAATTGATTTGAATTATCCATCGGATTCTTCAGATTTTTCAAAATTATTTTGCTAACAACTATCAAAAATTTAGGTTAGGCGCGGATTTATCAGCACTGTGTGATTCATATTTGCGATTTTTGTGCCAAATAAACCGGTTTGATTTCACTATTGGACTTCATGTGATTTGTTAAGAATGCAGAAGTCATCCTTAGGTAAATTATGGTATTTTTAATTGAAAGTATATAACTAAAAAATATTATCAAGTGTGTTCAATCTGTATTAATTATACATGACGTAATATTCAGAGAATTTATTTTCTCCGCAGATAAATAATCAATTAGATTACTAGATGTTCCATAATAAAGCGGCTGTCCATCAATATTTTACTACATATTTTTCGAGTAAAAAAAAATATTTACATAATCAATCTTGAGTGATGTACAAAATGTTTCCTCCTTTATGTTTGGCGCCATAATTAAAACTGTGTCGTGATTGGGTAGAGGGAGGACGTGGCGGCGGCGGCAGCACCTCAACCCACCAATCAGCGACCAGTTTTCATTACGCCTGGAAACGAATATTGTTTGCGTCTGGGCTGCGAGTCTTCCCCTACCACCAGGTTTTCTCTATTCACAACTACAATTACCTCGGGAACTTCAACAAAATGAGGAAGAAAGGGAGACCTAAAAAGCAGAAGGGAGGAAAAAGTAAGAAAACTACTTATTATGATTAGAATATATTTGTAAAGAGAAACGAGAGAATGTTCATTATATTAACCTCGGTGTGAGGAAATGGCGTCGGTGAAAACCAGACCGTTTGTTTTGAATGTGTGATTTGGTGGGGGGTAGATAAGATAAGGCAATAGTTAACGAATATCTGCTAACTCATGAAATGTAAATGTCTATATTATGTTACAGTATCAAGTTTGTGGTTGAGGATTGTCTATATAGTTCATGGGTGGTCAATAATGGCAGAGTGACCCTGGCAACAGATCTGGTTCATTCTATAATATCAGTGTTTCGGTATTTTATCAAATGATGTTTTGTTCATCACTTGTTGGATGTGATTCATTCCATCTAAAGCTCTTTTGAGTTTTGATGAAAAATATCAATTGTAATCTGGTCAGATATAGCATTAGTTCCTGTAAGATTATTAAACTCATTCTGAAGAAAAAAATTCATGCAATGGAGAATCAAAATCTAGATAGAAAGTAAGGAGATTTCTTGAAAAGGAATTTAATTAAATGCTAATAGGGTGATCACTATTTTGCAAAGAGTTTGGTCACCAATAGAATCAATAGTTTGTGACTTGCCATGGGAAGGGGTCTGACTAATTACCCAAATACAGCCGGAATGAAGTCAAATAATGGTCCTAGATGAATAAATCGGACTACTAATCACTTCTCGACTAGTATTTGGTGTCAGAAACTCACAAAAAATTGGTAAACTTAATTTAATCTGAGTTAATAGATCAAGTGCATGTACCTAACCTAACCTAACACAACACAACTCCGATTAAATTAAGTTTACCAATTTTTTGTGACTTTGACACCAAATAATAATCGAGAACTGATTCACAGCCCGATTTATGCTTATACGACCATCATTTGACTTCATTGCGGCTACATTTGGGTAATTACTCGCTCCCTTGGTACATGCATGCGATCTATTAACTCAGATTAAAGTAAGTTTTCCAATTTTTTGTGACACCAAATACTAGTTGAGAAGTGATTAGCAGTCCGATTTATTCGTGTACAGTAGGACCATTATTTGACTTCATTGCGGCTACATTTGGGTAATTAGTCGGACCGCCCAAATGTAGCCGCAATGAAGTCAAATAATGGTCCTACATGAATAAATCGGACTGCCAATCACTTCTCGACTAGTATTTGGTGTCACAAAGTAAAAAAAAATTGGAAAACGTAATTTAATCTGAGTTAATAGATCGCGTGCATGTACCGAGGGAGCGAATAATTACCCAAATGTACCCAAGTGTAGCTGCAATGAAGTCAAATAATGGTCCTACAAGAATAAATCAGACTGCCAATTACTTCTCGACTGATATTTGGTGTCACGAAGTCACAAAAAAATTGGTAAACTTAATTTAATCTGAGTTAATAGATCGAGTGCATGTACCTAACCTAACACAACTCAGATTAAATTAAGTTTACCAATTTTTTGTGACTATGACACCAAATAATAATCGAGAAGTGATTCACAGCCCGATTTACGCTTGTAGGACCATCATTTGACTTCATTGCGACTACATTTGGGTAATTACTCGCTCCCTCGGTACATGCACGCGATCTATTAACTCAGATTAAAGTAAGTTTTCCAATTTTTTTTTACTTTGTGACACCAAATACTAGTCGAGAAGTGATTGGCAGTCCGATTTATTCATTTAGGACCATTATTTGACTTAATTGCGGCTACATTTGGGTAATTAGTCGGACCGCATGGGAAGGCATAGGTTGTGTGAATAAATGAAATTTTTATGTCTTGTTCAGAGTTGTAATGTTAAGTAGTTGTAATAGCATTACCATCGTTTCATTAGAAATGTACAGTGGTCCCTCGGTTAACGAACTCAATCCGTTCCAGAAGGTCGTTTGTAACCGAAAAGTTCGTTAACCGAAACCATTGTTTCAATGGGTTTTTGGGTAATTGGTTCCAGCTCACCGAAAATTTCCTAAATTCAACAAAAATGGTAGAAAAGTTCACTTACTTTGAGGTGTGTATGTAGAAGGCTCCCGGATGATGATGATGATGATGGGAATTAGAATGGGGGTGGAGGAGAAGGAAGAAGAGAAGGCATTGGGGTGGAAGAGAAGTCACCCCATAGCACCATTTCACCCATAAAATTTTAGTTCTCTTGGTGTATTTCAAGATTATTTTCTTTAAATCAACACTGCACTGCATTATATAGTGTCAATATGTAAAATATATTTCAAAATGACCAATAATTTGCTTGGAAACACAGAAAAAAAGCGTTTAGTTGAAGAGAGTCTCAAGCAAGATGTTACCTCCACTGAAAACAGAGAGAGACTAACGCCTGTCTGGTGTGTTAACAGGCTGGATGGCACGCCAGAAACTAGTTTCTTTACCTTCAATTATGCTCAATTGTTAAAATGACTAAAAAAAGTTAATATTAAACTTTTAAAATTATTGAATAGTATAAACTTCTTGATATTTACTAAAATAGTAAGGAATTTAAGCCCTAAAACCGATTACTGTATTTGCGGACTGATACTAAAGCTGGTTGCCCGGCCAGTGCAAGCGAAAACATGTTGAGGTCGGTTCGTAAGAAATTCGTTAACCGAGGAAGGCAGTTCGTTAACCGAAATTTCGTTAACCGAGGCGTTCGTTAAACGAGGGGTCACTGTATAGTATTTTTATGGCTGTGGTAGGTTTTTTTAGACGAACACCAGAAGGAGTTGCTTGAATTGGATGAAACTTTGTGGAAACGTTATTTACAATCTATGAAATAGATAAATGGAAATGAGAATGCACAAAACTTCTTAGAACTTTACCCAACCTGAAGTAACCGGTATTATTATTGTTTCCGGTCATCCAGTGAATTTTAGGATTTTCGGAGTAGGTTAGGTTGAAATTATGTTTTTCTGGTGGTTTTGATGTGTTTTGAATAACTTCCAAATAGGTGGGTGACCAAAATGATAATTTTACCAAGTAACCTTTGGTAATGTCTGAAAACAGCACTACCACCAGAAGGAATTTTTTGAATTCGTTAATTTTCTCCACAGATATTCTTATCATTGCAATAAGTATTTTAAAATAGGCGACATTTACTAGAACCTAATAGAACCCGACCGAACCATTGAAAAAAACCAACTTCACTTCCTAGCTGGGGGCTCTGCCCCTGCAGACCCTCTGCCATATTAAACAGAAAGTACTTATTTGGATATCTGGTATCAATGAAAGCAACTTTATTGAAGCGTTATGGTATAATTTTGTGTTTTTTTTTGGACGTGAGAGTTTGCTCAGACTGATTGAGTCGTTTGGATACAACAACAGATGACAACACGTGCTGACTCGGCAGATTTGGGGAGGAGTAATTACAGTAAATTAAAATTTCTTCAAGTACAAAACACACAGACATCATTTTAGGTTATGATCAGTTTTGCACCATGTTTTACCCCATAATGATAAGAGCTTCTGGAAAAATTTAACAAAACCAAAAAATAGCTTCTGGTGGTAGTGCTGGACTCAGAAATGACTAAACCTTTAAAACAACATACCTAAAAGCACTAATGGATTCTCGTTTCCATTTATCTATTTAGTAGATTGTAATTAACATCTCCACATTGTTTTGAACAATTCTATTAACTCCTGATGTAACTGTATTCTATAAAAAAAAAACCAACAACTGGACAAATATCCAGTGTATATTTATTTATAGTTTATATATCAGGGTAATGGTGGAGCAGATGGTTAACACCAGAAGGTTTTTATGGAATTGCACCAAATATTCGGGAGATGTTGTTTGGATGGTACCGAATAAGAAAATCTAAACGACAATGCACATAACCCACTAGAACCTTACCTAATTTCCTAACCTGTTCATTATCGTTTTGATTTTCTTACTATTATTCAAACATCTCTAGAAAAGAATGAACTAATTCAATCCGGTATAAATTTTAATAAACATGCTTGATGAGATCGTCGTTTGTTTCTTGACATGTAAACAAAGACCGTGGACTTTCTCATATAACATATGTTATGAATCGAAACATGGTCGCAACAGGAGATCCCACGTTGCCTAACTGAGAACCAGACAAATATCCATAGCCTAATTTATGGTAAGGGTGGGGCAGGCGGTTAGCACCCGAACACATTCATATTTTCCAGAGTTCTTTTAAAGCTCAAAGCCCTATGGTTTACCGAAGGGTAGAGCAAACCAGGCTTATTCATGTGGCCTACTGCATTGCCACAATAGATGAGTGTCATTCAGTCTTTAGCTGCCTTTAACCCTGGAGCCTACCTCACCTGCTTGGTAATGTAGGTTGTACCAAGAAATTTGTCTTCATTAAAAACTTGCTCCAGTTTATAGCCTTTCTCTTCTATTATCTTCCTTACTTGCACGGAAAATGCTTCTGCGGCTACTTACCCAGCTGATGCAGCCTACCCAGTCAGCTTCACATTATGGAGCGAAAATCTTTTCTTAAAATTTTTGAACCACCCTTTACCAGCACTAAAAGTTTGTTCAGTAGCTGCATTAGCCCCTTCACCACCAGTTGATTCATGAAAATAGCCAAAGAGACTCTTTGCCTCATCATGATTCACCTTATTGTTGATCAACGTGTTTTTGTGGTGCTGGTCCTAAATCCAAATGTTAAACACTTTTTGGTGTTTACTGTGTTCTTATCACAAACAGTCTGGGCCACTTTACCATTTGCAGGAACACTCACTGTAACGGTCACAAATTGCTTGTTTGTTCTTCTTTATATACCACACCGGGACTCGTTCACACCCAATCACCAATCACTGCGGTGGTAGTCATTCCATCCTTTAGCTTATCAAATAATTCAACTTTCTTGGTAAGGGTCATCACTGACTTGCATTTTGATCACTTCACTAGCACTAGGCATTCTTTTGGGGGCCATTTCGTATCTAAAAAAACTAAAGTTTTGAGCACAACACGAGAGATGATGCGTCACAGGCAGAGTTGTAAAAAGTACCGTACAGTACTTCGT